CCAGGTTACCTCTTCCTTTCTCGGGCTTTTCGGAAAGGCAAGGGGGCGTGGGGGGGGTTATGGGGATCGTGTGTGCATTTGTGTGTGTCCCCGTGTGTGTGTGTGTGTGTGTGTGTGTGTGTGTGTGTGTGTGTGTGTGTGCAAAAAAGAAAGAGAGAGAGAGAGAGAGAGAGTTTTTGTTTTTTTTTTTTTTTTTAAGTGTGTGTGTCCGTCCGTGTGTCCGTGTGTCCGTTTAGGGAGTGGGGGGGGGGGGGGGGTAGGGACTGCAAGCAGAAACCCTAAAGCCGATACCTTGGTCAAGTGGTCGAAAAAAGGAGATTAGTTATAATGACTGTTTCAGTCTTCACAATTTCGTGAGGTCAATTCTGTGAAAATTAAACACTTAACATTTTACCCAAAAGTCAAGACCTTGGTCAGATTGTCGTACATGAAAGATTTAATTACTGTAACAGTCATGAGATTTTAAAAATTAAGCCAAAATCAGCCTTGTGCTTATACTTCTTTAGTTTTAGTAAGAATTTTACGGCACTTGCAGCACTATAAGGTCATATAAGTGTCGAAGATTAGAGGTGTTACAAGAGAGTAACAAACACAATAAAGAAGGAGGAGATATCAGGACGAGAGATGTTTGATAGGACAGAAGGAGCAAACCACACCAGAGAACCCGCCAACCACCCACCTTTTACTCTTAGAATCTCGACTTGATTGCACAAATCTTCTGCATGCACTTGCGAAGAACAAACAAAAGCATACAAGCAAGCACATTCATGCACGTGTTCATTGACACACACTCACACACACACACACACACACACACACACACACACACACACACACACACAAATAAGTTTCCTTTTACATGTATTGCAAATCCACATTGTCCTCTAAAGTGTCTACCAAACAAATTTGCGACGAACGAGTAAGTTCCGGAACATACCGTAAAGCCGACTCAAAACTCTCCAGTCATAGGTCTTTATTAGATAAAAGATAACCCGAGTTCTCTATTTAAAACGTACTTGCCCCACAGCGCACACCTGGGGTCTCCACTCTCAGTGGACCATAATTTTATTTAGGTCACCGTAACCTAATTTCCCGAAGACGCTTTTGGCATTTAAGAAAAAAGAATGGTGGATTGAAATGTACTTGAAGTAACCTTAACCCAGTACAGCGTATAGTATCTTTAAAGTATTATCAAAGTATTTTGAGTGCAAAAAAAAAGAAGAAAAAACGACTATACCAACTATAAAAAATCCAAGAAACAAGAATCAGGCGCATGTCAAAATAATGAAATCAAAGGAATCGACATTGTGTTTCGGCCTGTTGGTAAATTTTCCTTGATTTTTTTTGTGGGGATGGGGGTGATCTCAACATATCTATGTCCTTTTAAAAACACATTTTGAGTGTATTTTACTCTGGAAAAAAATGAAAGGAAAAGAAAAAATGTAAATTTGCAGTTGCAAGGACTCCCAAGTTTTGGATTTCACAAAACTTACGCAGCTATTATTTCGCTAATTTAACCTCTGACACCGGGCACGTCCTGCAACCCCCCCCCGCCCCCAACGGCTAATATTTCGACATCTATTCAAGATACACGGTTAATTTAAAAAAATCAAAAGCAAGAATAAGGTTTAAGGTTATACAAATAGGACGAGCGCCCGATTCCAGTTGTACTAGTCACCCACCTTCTTAAGATCCGCCAGCTCTCTCTGCAGCCCTTTGTTCGTCTGCTTCTCTCTATCCACTTGTGTGATCAACTCGTTCGTTCTCCTCTTCCCATCCTCCTTTTCTAGTCTCACCTGTTGACGAGGGTAAGAGGAGGAACAATTAGCTTGGATTTCATTATCTTGTCCACCACCTACAAAAGGATCATCATCATCATCCGGTGCCATGCCGACTGGCGTGGGCGATCATGGACCTCCACTTCCATCTGTCTTTCGATGCAGCAATGGTGTCTATTGTTCTTGCTGCTCCCAGCCATGTTGTCATCTTGTCCAGTATCTTTTCCCTCTGTCTCCCTCTGCCTCTCTTTCCATCAAACTTTCCTGTTGTTACAATATTCTCTTATGCTTCTTCCCGCATTGTGTGTCCGAAGAAATTTGCCTGTCGTTTTTTTATATTCGAGATAAGTTGTTTTCTATAATTTGCTTCAACCAGGACTTCTTCATTTGTTTTTCTATACAAAAGGATAAGGGCCTCGAAAACCCAATGTTAGTGTCTACTGCACGTTTCCACAAGCTTTTGTTTGTTTTAGTGAGGATTTTACGGCACTTGTAACACACTAAGGTTACATTAGTGCCGCAGATTGGAAGTGTTACAAGAGAGCAACAAAAAAAAAAAGACGGAGGAGATAAAAAGACGATAGATATTTGAAAGGAAAGAAGGAGAAAACCACACCAGAGTACCCGACAACCACCCACTTTTTTTCACAAGCACTTGTGAAATTGACATTCTGTAATATCACGAAATTTAATGTATCTTCAACAGATTGCGCTCACTTTAGATATTTTGGGAGACGCGCTGCTTCGACCCTGCCTGTAACGACCAACTTAAATTGAGAGGGGATACTTAAACCCAGCACAGGAACAATATGATCTAAATTACGTTCACAAAGCGTAATACATTTACAGTAACTACAACATTACAATTAAGCCACAGGTCTCCTCACCTGTCTTTCTTTCTCTTTTTCTGACCGTTCTCTTTCTCTGTTCAAAGCCTCATGGATCTGAAACAATTATTAAAAAAGACAACTAAGACATAACAACAGACCCGTATTTTAATACCAAAGACTGTACACCCTGACTTAATACTGGTTCACTATCTTAAGTTAAGTAAACGATTTACGGCACTTGCGACACAATTAGGTCATATAAGTGCCGAAGATTAGAGGTGTTACAAGAGAGTAACAAACACAAGAAAGGAGGAGAGATAAGGACGGTGGATTTTTTTTTTATTGGAAAGAAGGAAGTGAGCAAACCACACCAGAGCACCCATCAAACAATCACTGGTTCACTATGCAGTGCGCCATTTGATCCAATTTGGAGCAAATTTAGGGGCAAAAAAAAAGAAAAAAGAGGGGGAAGGGGTGGAAGGTGCCACGAGCGTTTAACAATAGCGGATCTAAGGTTTTGCTCTTTTCTGGGCGCCCACGGTGCGCACGGGCAACGGTGAAGAGCCTGACCAACATACCACAGAGGCCGGAGAACAAACAGTCTGTGCTCCCGTCTTGTAATGTACATTTTAATGTAAGTATAAAGTTTACACACAATTAGGTTGTTTAAGAGGAGGGACCTCCGAATTTAACGTCCATCTCCGATAAGACAGAAGCAGTTGGGCTGAGAGTCTTGGAAACTCTACAAAACTATAACCCCGAGTTCAGGAATGCCCAGTCGGGGATTCGAACCTGGGATGTCCACTTCATAGTCCAGAATGAAACCAAGAGATCAAACAGAGCGACCTGCTGGCGCTATGGACAAAGGGCTATAAAGTAATCGGCACAGAGAAAGCTTGATCCCATGACATTAAAAGTGAACCCTGGGTTAGATACCAGACACTTACATTCACACACACACACACACACACACACACACGCACACACACACACACACTCGCGCGCACACACACACACACACACACACACACACACACACACACACACATATATATACACACACATACACACATACACACATACACACATACACACATACATACATACATACATACATACATACATACATACATACATACATACATACATATGGGGGCTCTCGTGGCCTAGAGGTTAAAGTGTTGGCCTCTCATTCAAAGGTCCCGGGTTCGAATCCGGGTAGCGACCGAAAAATTTCCTTCTCTAAAAGTACCTCCTTTCCTGCTCTCTTGCAATATTCTGTCGTCTGATTTCGTCTCCTCTTTCTGCCCCCACCCCCTCACCTCCTTTGCCCCCTCCTCTGGGCTTCTGACTCTTTCTGCAGCCTTTCTACTGCTACTTCTTCTTACAGCAGTCTTTCTGCCACACCCCTGATCTTCTGGTAGGAAAGACATACACCTAGCCTTCTCGGACAAGGGCGAAAAATCGGGGAGGGCCCCTGTTCAAATTAAAGATCCCTTGGTGGTCTAAAATCGATAAGAGTAGGCAAACTTCAAAATTTCCTACCAACTAAAAGTATTAGGTGTGTCCCGCGCGCTCATATGACCTTATGCAGTTGCGAGCGCCGTAAAACACTTACCAAAAAAATACATACATACATACATACATAAATACATACATTCATATAGACAGACAGACAGACAGACAGACAGACAGACAGACAGATTAACGCGCACACACATACACACACACACAAACAGTAAATGTGGGCATACACTCATACACCAGCGTGGCAGACAACGCGAGCAACTCACCTTTCTCTCCGTCTCAAGTTGACTTTCATGCTCAAGTCTCCTGACCTTGTCTTCAAGTCGGGACACTTCAGCGCTTTTCTCCTATAGATAAAGAGATAACATTGTTTTGTTTTTAGTTTTAGTTCAAGTAAGAGTTTTGCGGCACTTGCAACACAATAAGTTAAAATAAGTGCCAAAGATTAGAGGTGTTACAAGAAAGTTACAAACACAAAAAAAGAAGGAAGAGAGATAAGGACGGAAATGTTTGATATGAAAGAAGTAGCAAACTATACCAGAGCTCATAAGTTTACCCTAAGCAAATTGTGTCTTAAGCAAAAGGTAACACACTTTAGCCTTTTTGCTTCTATAGTTGAAAAAGGGGCAGGTCCAGGAAAAAATGGAAGGAGTGGATCAGAGAATCATAAGCCAAGAACAACATAACCTTGCAACAGACGATTCAACGAGCAAGTGAAAGACGTTTGCTTTTCTCCATTAATACTGCAAGGTAACAAGCCGGAAAAAACAAGGAAACGTAAAATAAGATAAAGAGGTAACAAAGCTGATCTTAAACAACGCGCGTCTTCATGATGAATCCACCCCCACCCCCCACTCCCAACAAAACAAAACAGAAAGGCCCAACAAGCAAATTTGGTCAAAGTCAGGTCAGGTCAGGTCAGGTCAGGTCCTTAGGATGAAGAACTTTTAAAAAATAATTTAATGTACGTGTCATACGCCTCCATCGAAACTATGTAGATCATTAAGGAGGCGGGCTTCGACCCAGCCTGTCAGATCCAACGCCGGCTGGGAGGGACACAACGTCACCAAAAGAAAAATGAAACTAAGAATCCCCCTCCCCCCCCAGATGGGGTTCGAACTCAGGTCTTTTGCTTCGACGGCGAAGCACCTAACTGCTACAAGATTGACGGCGGTGCAAGAGAAAACACATGAGATAGATCTACTGACATTACATTTTTTAACGCTCATAGCATTTCCCCAAAGGTCAGAGGAACTCGAATAATTGTTTATTTGTTTGAGCAAAGAGATACACATTGACATGATAACGGTCATTTAGTATAGGGAAATAGCTTGATAAACAGACAACAAAGGAGAAAAATGAAAGTCAGACTTAAAAGTGACACTCTCCAACCACACGCGAACGTAAGAATATGGCGAGGAAACCGAAAGGACAATAACATGTACTGCAATAGAATGTACTGCACATGCACTAAACAGTGCAGAAATTAAAAAGTAAATCAGAACATGAAAAGATAATATAGAGAAAAATAAAGCGCGGCTAAAGTCAGTCAAGGGAAAAAGAAATCCACGCCCCCCCCTCCCCACCATCACCAACAGAAGGATTTCTCTTTCTGTGTCTTTTACCATTAAGACCCCCCCCCCCTCTCTGATCTCTCTCTCTCTCTCTCTCTCTCTCTCTCTCTCTCTCTCTCTCTCTCTCCCACCCTTATCTTCCAACACCCCCCCAACCCCCCCCACAAAAAACAACAACAGCAACAACAACAAACAAAAAAAACAAAACAAAACCCAACAAACAAAAAAAAGCAACCAGCAACCAACGAACTAACCAAACAAAAATAAAACAACAAATATAAACCCCACAACAAAAACCCAAACAAAACAACACGTACCGCCAACGCCGAGGAATTATCCTCCAGAGCCTGGGCCAGCTTATCCTCCACCCTGGCCCCGGACTCCCTCCTCTCCTGCTCCATCTCGTACCGCAGATCCTCCAGAGCTTTCTGCTTCTCCAGGAACATCGACTCCTTCAGCTTGAGGACTGCAGCAGCCTGACAACACGAAGTATAATACTATGGTGATCTTTGAGTTAAGGCGTCTCCAACCACCCATATCATTTAGGACTATGACGTATGAGTTACGGCAAAATGGTGTTAGGCAAGATCTATTCCCTAAAGGGATGGCATTTTATAGTTGTTTTAGTAAGAGTTTTACGGCACTTGCAAGGGAATTAGGTCCTGCAAGTGCCGAGGATTAGAAGTCTTATGTTACAACAGAGTAACACACACACACACACAAAGGAAGGAGGAGGGATATTTTATTTAGTAAGAGTTTTACAACACTTGCAACACAATTAGGTCACGTAATTGCCGAAGATGAGAGGTGCTTAATTTTAATAAGAGTTTTCCGGCACTTGCAACAAAATAAGGTAATATTAGTGCCGAAGATTAGAGGTGTTAAAAGAGAGCATCATACACAAAAAAAGGAGGGGAGATAAAGACAATAGATGTTTAGTAGGAAAGAAGGAGAAAGCCACACCAGAGCACCCGCCAACCACCTACTAAGATGAGAGGTGTTATGTTACAAGAGAGTAACAAATATGAAAAAGGAGGAGAAATGAGGGCCACATATTATGTTTGATGGGAAAGAAAGAGCAAATCACATTTGAGCTTTTTGTTTATTTGTTTGAGTAAAGAGAAGCACATCGACACAATAATGGTCAAAATGGTGCTGGGAAAAAGTAAGACAGACAGACAGACAGGCAGACAGACAGACAGACAGACAGACAGACAGACAGACAGACAGACAGACAGACAGACAGACAGACAGACAGACACAAACAACAGAAAGGAAGTGAAAAAGTAGGATCTACCACTGGCACCCTCAAAACACCCGCTGCAGTGTTCACTGAGTTAGGGAGCTTTTGTTTTAAAAAGAGTTTTGCGGCACTTGGAAAACATTTAGGTCATAGTTTGAATTTGAGTAAGCAGAGGCACATCGACATAACTGCTACTTAATGCAAGGAAGAAGCAAGACAGGTAGACACACACAACAGAGGTAAAGCAAAGAAGTAGGAGCTACGAGTGGCTCCCTCCAACAACAGTGCCTAATATAAGGCGTGTTACAGGAGAGTAACAAAAACGCAAAAGAAGGAAGAGAGAGGGTGATGATAGATATTTGATAGGAAAGAAAGGGCAAACCACACCAGAGCACCTGCCAACCACTTTCTTTCAGCATCTCAAAACTGCAAGCATTCTATTGAACACACATTGCTAACGTTTTGAATATGCAGGTAATGTCAAAAAACAACAACAACAAATAAACAAAACCTTTCCAATATTTAGAAGACAAAAAAACAACATTAATGTAAGTTACCAGAACCACCAAAACTTTTCTCAAAAGTAAACCAATAGAGAGAAAGCTGCTTGTAAGGGTTTGAAAATTAGTTTTAGTAATAACATAATTTATAAAAGTTAAAATATCCAAAAATAATCAAATGAATAAAAGTCCAACCGGCCCCTCCCGACCTCCCAAAACTAGCAAAAACAAACATCATCATCACCCAGTGCCAGATCTGCCACAGACATCGGCGATCATGGTTCTTTGTTCATTCCTTTGCTCGGATGCATAGGCTGTGAGGGTGTGGGGGTAGAAAGGAGAGACGAAAGCAGACGACAGAACGTTTTTAGAGAGCAGGAAAGGAGGGGAAAGGAGACAATTTTAGAGAAGAAAATGTTTCAGTCGCTACCCGGATTCGAATCCGAGACCTTTGAAAGAGAGGTCAACACCTTAACCTCTAGGCCACGAGAGCCCCTACTTAAAGATGGCATTTATTACAACTTACCGTCTCTTTTTTCAGATGCTGCAGTGACCTCTTTTGCTCAGAGGACGTTTTGTGTCGATCTTGTCTTTCCTTGGCCAAAACAGACTGTAACTCGCTGATCTGGGCCCTGTCAAGTGATAACAAAATACATGTTTTATTGTGGTGAAACCAGGCGCTCGTAAAAAAAAAAAATTAAAAATTCAACATTTTCCCTGCGTGTTGGGCAATTTTATTCGATTTATTATTTGGGCTCAACATCTTTTGTGTTCATTAAAAAATATATTTCTGGGCCATGTCATTAGCCGTAGCCCAACATTGCTCAGACACTTCTGCCTGCAGTGACTCACCAATGTCAACTACAGCTGCTAAGGCTCCGGCTCAAAGCGAGTTTAATGCTTTCTCGTACCAACATTCCTTTCCCAGTTTTAATGTTTTAAAAGCGCTGAATTCAAGTACCAGTAGCAAAAACGTAGTGGGCTAACAAGAAAACTAAAACTGAAATTGAACAAAACAGGGGCATTAACAGAAACAACTTTGGGCTCACAGACAAGAATTTTCAAATACTACGATAGCCGTGACAAAAATTTCCGAAACGTAAAAAAATTGGAGAATGTACACTGTACACTGCCACTTTTGGGCAGCTCTCTCTCTCTCTCTCTCTCTCTCTCTCTCTCTCTCTCTCTCTCTCTCTCTCTCTCTCTA